CTCCAGAACTTCCTCTTATATAGCGCTCCAAATGTATTTTCTAAGGCAGCTACCATGGCTGATAGTCGTTACATCTCTGTTGGAATGTAACTTAATGTTGTTGAAAACAGTTATTTTAAATGAGCTGCAAAATAAATAGCTTGTCATTTACTATTTCACCCATTCACTTTGGATAATATTTCAAACTGTGTCTCATATGCCTCCAATGGTGCCTTTCCACAATAACCTGTTGGTTTCTTTATTCAGTAATGTTGTTGAACTGGTTCACTAAATTGTGTAATTTGATGAGATAGTGTAGTAGCTGAAGTCTTGCAGTCATAGGTGGTGCAGTAGTAGTAGTAACAGATGTACAACAAATGGGTTATTTTATTCCATATGACATAGTCAATAATATTTGAGGTTCAAAATTATGAAGAATACAGAGAGAAAGGTAGCTGGTTTGACAGTTTCATCAAACTTGATTTCATAATCCCTCTTTATTTCGTTGATGTCATCTTCTATTTCCTTTTTACTTTGTTGATGTCCATTTTTCATTTCATTCATCCCTTTATTTTTTACTTCCCTTCTTAATTATTAATGCCCCTTAGCAAATTTCCCATTTATAAGTATATTTTGTTGGTAATTCTTCCATAAATCTTAAGTTTCATTCTCATGATTTATCTTTTAAATTTCTGCCTCTTTCTCCATTATCTTTCTTTAGACTTCAATCTCCTTTTTTTCCAATTTTCTTTCACTTTCTTCATGATCTTCTTTCCACTGTTTTATCACTTTCAATAAATTTCATTCTTTCATTGAGTACATGCCATCTTGCTAATTAATAATTAGAATTAGGTGATCACATAGACTACTAACCATGACAGCAATTGACATCTGAACACCACAACCTTAAATACACAAATACATAAAATACTACTTCTTAAACTGTGGTCATCATATGTACATACATAAAATGGAGATATATTGGTTCAACAATCTTACATGGGTAACGTGTTGATACTGAATGACTAACACAGCGTAATCTTTATCGTAAATTGCATGAATTAAGCTAATAATGAAATATATCATTTTATGGGTAATTCTCTATTTGTTTTGATATCGGGGTTATATGTTTTTGTATTTTATATTTATGGCAAGGAAATAAGGCTATCTGCTATCATCCCTAATTTTGAACCACTGACTGGAAGGAAGGCAGCCAATCAGTAGCACCTTACCACCCACCATCCACACAAACTGAGTGTCTCTTTTATAGCATACACAGCTTAAATTATGGGGAATATTTTGTGGTATCACATGGATTCAAATCCAGTTCTGATATCCAGAGCTCTACCAAAGGGCTAACTCACACCCTATTCATTTTTGAATTTTTATTTTTGTGATTTATTACTTTCAACTTTGATTCTGTCTCTGGCTTTAATCATTTTTGTGCTCTTCCTTTTTTGACTTTTATTACAGTTCTGGGGTATTTCCTTAATAGTGTTTCTTTTGAGTCACTATCTTCCAACACTATTCCTATTGGCATTAGTCCTTTCAGTAGTGTTAATTTTTTGTATTGCTCTTTTGTTGGTTGAGTGTTTTTCGATACCTTTCCTTTCATATTGTTTACTTTTCTCTTGTTTCTCAGCACTTGCCCTTTTCAATAACTCTTTTCTAATAATTTATTTGATATTATCACTCCTTCTATCATTCCTATTTGTCTGGCTTGTGGTTTCAATTTTTCTTAATAACAGTCTAATTTACTGATTGTTCTATACAGTTTAATTACTTGAATAAAACTGCTTTAAAAAAAAGAATTCAGGATAATAGTGGTCAATAGAAATATAATCATGGCTTAGAATATAACAAATATAATATTCCTAAATTTAAAAAAAAATTAAAACTTTGAATAAGTTAAAAATTTGGAAAAATAATATTTTTTTTGTTTTAGCTATAAAAAGGTTATCTGCAACAAATCTTTCTTACATTGTTTTTCAGTTTATACTACTGTTATTAAAATACACACTATTTTGTCTCTCTCTCTCTCTCTTTGCTTGCTATTTTCCTCGAATAGTTTTGGTTCAAGCATTACCAAAACTGACCAGGATCGTAAACCCAACCAAAGAAGTGTCCCGATGGACATATGTCAAAAAGGTAGCAAATAAAACAAGTTTTTCATTATAATCATGTGTTCTAAATTTTTTAAATATTTTTGTTAATCATACCTTTCCAGAAACAACAATGACTATTACTCAATAAATGAAGTCATCCATCCTCCAAGATTTATGGGGAATAACAGAGAGAACAACCCTTTCGCTACCTTCAGTAGAGTGTAGAAATCTTGAACCAATGTAGGTCAATAAACCAAATCCTACACAACTTAGCATGGAGTTCCCCATTCAAAGAAATACCACACTGATGAACACAGGACAGTGAAGATCTCTAGATCAGATCCTATACAGATCTTTGTGGGAATTCCATATTCTAAGAAAGCCCACACTAGTGAACATAGGACAGTGAAGATCTCTAGATCAGATCCTATACAGCTCTTCATGGGAATTCTATATTCTAAGAAAGCCCACACTGGTAAACACAGGACAGTGAAGATCTCTAGATCAGATCCTATACAGCTCTTCGTGGGAATTCTATATTCTAAAAAAGCCCACACTGGTAAACACAGGACGGTGAAGATCTCTAGATCAGATCCTATACAGCTCTTC